AAAAAAAAAAAAAAGAACTTCTATAACTTGATAAGGAGTAAATAACTGCCCAATAGGATGACTATATTTCTTTCTAAGTCAATCAGTGATATTTTAATATCTCCTTACTGTCTTTGTACCTACAATTTGTCCAGTGATGTCTCTGAAAGTTTAAGAAAGTGAAAATAATTTCAATGGTTGCTATAACAGCCCAAGTGTGTTACACTGGATTGCCAAGCTGCATTGTAAGAGGGAAATGTTAAAATGAGTAAGAATTACAAATGAGAGAAATTCACACTTGAGCTGTTTATACATCTGTTTTGATAAACTCATATGTTCTAAAGCCATTTCATATATGGTTTTATTTATAAGAAATAAGTGGGAAAAGCAGAAACTTCTTAAGAATTATTGAATGCTATTTCAGATAAATTTTATATATTTCCAATGATCAGTTATAGAAGCATAATTAATCCCTAATTTACAGAATTTATATAAAGGTTACATTAATTAGGTAATCAATAGATTTGAAAATTAGAAAATCACTACATTATTTGAATAATCTATTAATGAGAGCCAATTTACTGAGTACTTACTATGTCTTAAGAACTGTTTTAAGATACATTAATTCATGGGGCACCTGGGTGGCTAAGTCAGTTAAGCATCTCACTCTTGATTTTGGCTCAGGTCATGATCTCAGGATTGTAAGATCAAGCCCCTCATGGGGCTCCACGCTGGATGTGGAGCTTGCTTGGTATTCTCTCCTCCCCACCCCTGCCCCATCCCGCACCATCTCTCTTTCCTCTCTCTCTCTTTCCCTCCCTCCCTCTCTAAGAAAAAAAAAAAAAGATACATTAATCCATTTAATCCTCACAATGTCTCAAAAGTAGGTACTATCAATCTCTCATTTGAAAGATGATGAAACTAAGACACCAAGAGTTTGTGTAACTTACCCAAGCTGATAGTGCTAGTAAGAGTTGGGACAAAAAAATAGTGCTTTTTAGTGAATATCTCCATTTAAAAAAAAAAGTTTATGACAGGTTAGAATAAATTAAGGTAGTGGCCAAATCGTCAAAACAGACTCCAGAATCACTCTCTCTTTGCAATGATTAAGATGATCCAAGTGAAAATATGTCAATAAAGATATCATCCATCTCATTACAGAACACTGGTAACTTTATCAAATCTGTATTTTGCTTGCAAATGTTCATCTGAATGTAAGAGAGAAAAAAACAATATATGAGGGAAAAACACTGGATAAAAAGTGTGGGGATAGTCAGCCAACTAACACTCTTTGAACACATTCACAATAATCAAGGCATCATTCACCAGTTTGAGAGTTTGAGTTCTAACAAGTAGGTGTTTACTGATTAGCAACTAACCAATATAATATAAATTGCTAAACTAGTTTGCATTTGCAGATGCTACGAAAAATTTCCCTAAGGCCCAGCTATGTTTCCATATGAGAGGCCCTGTATCATACCCTTCTCTGACTCAGTTCAGGATATCAGTCACCAGCTAGTTTTAAAAATGATTCAGTTGTGGTGATTAATTCAATTATTCAAAGAGTTTCTGTGGAAGTACAGGGAAGTCTTATAACTGCCCAATGGAATGACTATATTTCTTTCTAAGTCTTTGGATAAGCTCAGGTAAGAATATAGGTATTTTCTGTAGGCTACAATGGAAAGGGCAAATTTCTGACATCCCATTAAAAAGGGCAAGCTTCCTATGCTCTGCAATCGGCATGAAATCCACCATGGAAGAACTGAAGAGTGACTACAACTGGCTTAAAATTCCACAGCAAATTCACTGAGGGTTACTTTAAACCCATTTGGGTGAAAGAAGTACTGTCTTTACAACATCTTCCCGACTTCTCACCTGCTCCCTTATTCTTCCCAGTGGTTACACTTTAATCACTCAATTTCCTCTTCATTATGTGCCCCACACTGTGCCTGGCACACAGAGCAAACAGCTCCTTCCAACACCTACATTCCATCTTTCTAATATCACTCAACAAATTTTGTCAAGAAGTGCCTAGTCCATCATAGTCCATGCTCTTGTTAGCACGGGGCATATGTTACTGAACAAAAGAGACCAAGGAAGGAAAAGGTTAACTGAAAATTTACAGTAAATTTCAGTTGGTTGAGCGACTGCCTTCGGCTCAGGTCATGATCCTGGAGTCCCTGGATCGAGTCCCGCATCGGGCTCCCTGCTCGGCAGGGAGTCTGCTTCTCCCTCTGACCCTCCCCCCTCTCATGTGCTCTCTCTCTCTCATTCTCTCTGTCTCAAATAAATAAATAAAATCTTTAAAAAAAAATGTTATTTAAAATAAATTTTTTGAGAAAAATTCATTACTGAAAGGAAAAATAATATTCTTCAGAATAACCTAAATTATTTTATTGGACCGTAGGAACTTTGAGAACTTTTATTTGGTTTGTTTTTAATTTAAATTTCAAAAGCTTTTAAAAAGTAACTCACATGCTTTATAACAGTACTTCAGTTTAGTTTTAACTTGCATTTCTTTTACTTTGGGTAAGATTAAGATTTTTTTTTACTATGTTATATCGCCTTAGGATGAAAGTCAACTTATATCCTTTGTCCAATTTCAATTGGGCAATTTTTTTTTTTAATTTGTAGGAGTTAAAAATATTTTTTGCTGTTTGTTGATGATCTTCTGACTTTGCTTACAGTGGTTTCTTGCTTTGCAGGTATTATTTATTTTTATGTAATCACAGTTTTATGTAATATATATGATAATTTTTACTTTTAAGTTAGATACTAGATTTTAGGTTGAGAGATATACTTTGTATTTTTATTTATCCCTTTATTCTTTAATGGTTTCAGGGATTTGTGGTATAGGAAAAGGGCCTTTTTCCTCTAAAGTCATAAAAGAATTCTCCATGGTTCCTTCTAGTTTTATTATAGTTCTACTTAAAATAGATACATACATACATACATAATTTAAATCTTTAATATATTTTAAATTTACCTTGGAGGGGAGTATGACGTATAGATTCAACTTTTTCTTCCAATTGACTATTTAGTTGTCCCAATATTTGCTCCTGAATAATCCATTTTCTTCTCACTGACTTGAGATGACATCTTTATCGTATGTGCTTAGGTCAATTTCTGAATTTTTTACTCTATTTCACTGACCATTTTCTATTCCTGTGACACTGCTATATTATTTCATTATTTTAGCTTTATAATATTTAAATATTTGATAAAACTAGCCCCCTATTCATTACTTTGTTTCTCAGAATTTAGAGATTAAATTAGGGAAAACTGACATCTGCATAAAGCTGAGCCTGCCCATCCAGGAACATGCTGTACCTTTCCATTTACATAAATCTTCTCTGGGTCTTAAGGGAATTTTACATTTTTCTTCATATAGATCTTCTACCTGTCTTCTTATCGTGTTACATTTATTCCTAAATATTTTCCCTATTTTGTTGCAGCTTTAAGTAGGGCCCCTTCTATCAAATCTTCAAACTAATTTTTTTATATGTGAAGAATATTGATATTAATTGGGTTCCTAAACAAGATGTTGGATTGATTTTATATGTATGGTACTTCTTCAGTTGACTTTCTCGAGTTTTCTAAGACTACAGTTTCATCATTCACAACCCCTTTTGAATTTCTATACCTCAAATTTTTTTCTGTGGTCTAGTTGTGTTAGCTAGAATTTCCAAACAATAATAACTAAATTGGTCAAAGCAGATACGTTCGTCTGGCTTATGACTTTATTGGGAGTGTTTCTAGTCATTTTTTTTTTTTTTGTAATTTTCTTTTAAGTTAGATACTAGATTTTAGGTTGAGAGAGATATTTTGTATGTTAAGGAAATACCTATCTGTTCCTTTTTTTACTGAGTCAAAAATAAATGTCAAATTTTAATATATGCCCATTTAGCATACATAAATATGACTGTATTATTCTCCTAGATCTTCTAATATGGTAAGCTATATTAACAGATTTTCTAATATTGAATTTACAGAACTCATCTTTACATTCCTAGAATAATCCCCATTTGATCAATGTGCATTTTCTCTTAACAAGCTGCTGGATTCTGTTTGCTAATGTTTTACTTAGGATTTTTTGTATCATGAAACATAAGTAAATGGCTCTACAGTTTCCTTACTAGTGCATTCTTTGCTAGATTTTGCTCTGAGAACACTTGGAACTGTTAAATGTTGGACAAAGGCAGTATCATTGCAACACATAGTTTAAAGCATCCACCAATAAGTGTCCTGGTTTTTCACTGCATCTCTTTATCCAACAGAAGAAGTTTTTGACCAGTGATTTTGTTCAATCAGACACATATGAGAATATATACGACAATAATTTTTCCATGTTGAGCATTCATATTTTGTTGGCTATTTCTGTTATTATCTTTCAGTCATGGAAAAAACTTCTACAGATGCATTTCCTTCTACTATGAATTCTTCAGAAAAGCAAGAGACTGTATGTATTTTTGGAACTGGAGATTTTGGAAGATCACTGGCACTTAAAATGCTCCAGTGTGATTACTCTATTGTTTTTGGAAGTAGAAACCCGCTAAGGTCCAGTTTGCTGCCCAACGGTGCAGAGGTCTTGAGCTATTCAGAAGCAGCCCAGAAATCAGACATCATAATCTTAGCAGTCCACAGAGAGCATTATGAGTTTCTCAAGGAACTAACTGAGGTGCTCAAAGGAAAAATATTGGTCGACATCAGCAACAACCTCAAAATCAATCAGTATCCAGAATCTAATGCAGAGTACCTTGCTCAGTTGGTGCCAGGAGCCCACGTAGTCAAAGCCTTTAACACCATCTCAGCCTGGGCTCTCCAGTCCGGAGCACTGGATGCAAATCGGCAGGTAAGATTAAATGATTAATTTATACTCAGTCTTTAAGAAGTGAATGTTTTGGGGTGCTTGGGTGGCTCAGTCAGTTAGGTGTCTGCCTTTGGCTCAGGTCATGATCCCAGGGTCCTGGGATCAAGCCCCACATCGGGCTCCCTGCTCAGCGGGGAGCCTGCTTCTCTCTCTCCTCCCCGCTCTTGCTCTCTCTTTCAAATAAATAAATCAAATCTTAAAAAAAAAAAAAGTGAGGGGCGCCTGGGTGGCTCAGTCGTTAAGCGTCTGCCTTCGGCTCAGGTCATGATCCCAGAGTCCTGGGATCGAGCCCCGCATCGGGCTCCCTGCTCCGCGGGAAGCCTGCTTCTCCCTCTCCCATTCCCCCTGCTTGTGTTCCCTCTCTCGCTGTGTCTCTCTCTGTCAAATAAATAAATAAAATCTTTAAAAAAAAAAAAAGTGAATGTTTTAATGTGCACGTACCTCGAAGATGCCAAAATAGAATTCCAAAATAAAATACCCACTAAACATTTCTGATTGCTAATACGTGCCATGGATAATTTTCTTGGGTTTAACCAAGTAAAGTAGTCAATTGTTGTGAGTTATTTCCCATTGTTGGCACCCTCAGCTTTTAGTTTGATGGAACCCAATGCTGTCAGGCTCCAGAGGCCTCATGTAAGTACTAAAAAATAACACAATTAGATTGTTGATGGATATCTTTTCCATTCCCATTACATTGTATGAAACTGGTTCCATTTATTCATTGAAATTAAAAGTAATCCATAACTGATGTAGCACCCATGAATACAGAAGAAAAATCAAACCATTCACCCTGTAGAGAACCAAGTCCTATTTTATCAGTCTGATATGCTTAAAACCACTCTCAACTTCAACCCTGGTACTTAACCATCCAGCACACGTGTGCAAGTTTAAAACATGTTGCTTCTACATCCTTGTTTGAAAAGCATGTCCCTGTTCTGCATGGTGCTTACATAGATTTTCAAAGTAATGATTAAAGAAAGAATAAGTATTATTTAATTGTTTATTAATTGATTATTCTCAACCAGGTGTTTGTCTGCGGAAATGACAGCAAAGCCAAGCAAAGAGTGATGGACATTGTTCGTACTCTTGGACTTACTCCACTGGATCAAGGATCTCTCATGGCAGCCAAAGAAATTGAAAACTACCCCCTGCAACTATTTCCAATGTGGAAGTTCCCCTTCTATTTGTCTGCTATTCTGTGTGTCTTCTTCTTTTTCTACTGTATTATAAGAGACATAATCTACCCTTATGTTAATGGCAAGAAAGATAGCACATTTCGCTTGGCTATTTCCATTCCAAATCGTATCTTTCCAATAGCAGCACTTACATTGCTTGCCTTGGTTTACCTCCCTGGTGTTATTGCTGCAATTCTGCAACTGTACCGAGGTACAAAATACCGCCGATTCCCAGACTGGCTTGACCACTGGATGCTTTGCAGAAAGCAGCTTGGCTTAGTAGCACTGGGATTTGCCTTCCTTCATGTCCTCTACACACTTGTGATTCCTATTCGTTATTATGTACGATGGACACTGAAAAACAGAACCATTACCCAGGTAAATCTCTACTTATTTGTATTCTCCGATGTCTTAAATCAAAGAGAAATCTTGCTGCATCATATTCCATTTCACGATTAGAGAAAATCACTCTCCTAAGCATCTTTATTTTTTAAGTACTAGAGCTCCTGTCAGGTTTTGGTTGTTTTCTCTTTTGTTGTTGTTGTTGTTTGGTTTGGTTTTTTATTGCTTGTTTGTTTGTTTGTTTTAATGAATTCAGTTGAGACCTTATACAACTATTGAGAATGAAAGTTAGATTCCTGGGCTCACTTGCATCCAGATGTGTATTCCCAGGACTCACTGGGATACTGGCAAACTGACAGATCTGGGGGCTCAGGAAACCTAATAACACTTACTTGAATTCCTCGGGGAGGGGGTGCAGTCAATAAATGTAAACCAATGTGTTTTCAAGCTTCTATTTTTATGCATGCGACTTCCTTTTGGAAGTCAAAACCAACCATCTTCTAAGTAAGGGGGCTGTTCAAAACTGTGTCACAGGAAGGTAAAAAAATTCACAGAAGGGTGCTTATAACTTCATTAATGTTTGACTTGCACAGAGCTGCTCTCAAGAACTAGAAAACTAAACAATTCTGAGCAAATGTCAAATACTATTTTCTGCATAGTCAAAAATTCAGAGAGAATTAGCTCAGACAGTCTTAAAGCAGTCCCAGAGGAAGTGCTATCCATCCGTTCTAGTTTGGAAATAATTGGTTTTGATCAATCTTACTGCACTCTCAAAGTTTATGAGTCGATAACTCATTGATGGTACTTCTGTGGATTTCTCTACATTATTTCCCTAAAAAATACAAGGGAAGTTCTTAGGTAAGAGTCCCATTTGAAGGGCCTGATTTTTCTCAATCTGTGGTGTGACAGACTTGATGCTATATTACAACAAAAATAAACATGAAAGAACCCAAACTTTGCGTGTGTGAATAAGCATACAAAGCAGAAAAACAGAATCCTGATACAATCATTTCAGAACAGCAAGTTTTACTTGGGGAACAAGAAGCCATATGGTAAAGAAGGTTTAAGTAAATGTTTACTTTGTTTTAGAATTTACAGCGTCAATTAAAACTTTCTACACAACTCCAGGAGTCAACTATTATAATAAAGTCCCAGCAGAACCAATTACTTTTTCTACCAAGAAATATCATTTCCAAGTGTATTTTTCTCGACAGTTATTTTCAAGTGATTATTAAGAAATACATACAATTTATCTTGAGCAAATATACCATGCAGAGGTATTTTTCAGTCCCCTTAAAAGTTTGGGCAGTTTGTAAAAAATGTAATATTTAAAAATTGCTTATAATTTTTCTTAGGCAAAAGCCAAGACAGAAGATCCATTTAGCACCTCTACTGCCTGGCTTAATGATTCATACATAGCTTTGGGAATCCTTGGATTTTTCCTGTTTGTACTCTTGGGAATCACTTCCTTGCCATCAGTTAGCAACATGGTCAACTGGAGAGAGTTCCGATTTGTCCAGGTAAGGACTTCAAGATTTAATCTCCTTTATATTGCAAAATAAGTCCGGCTTTACAAATATTTTCATTTTTCTCTCATACCATGCATAAATTTTCATCTTGCTCCTTCACTTCCCTAGCAATGTCACAAAAATAGAAATTGAGCCAAGTTCAAGTGAGAAAATGCTAAACTCTGGTACCAAAAGGCATACCATAATAGTTTTGCTTCCTAGCTGGGCATCACTTGCCAAGATCACTGCTTACTCCTAGAGCCACAGGTAAGAGTAGAGAGTGAAAAATACTAACAACTATTAAACTTTGTGTGTAGGGATGTGCTAGGCACAACGTGATGAGAAACCCAAAGACAAAATTTCTACCTCTGACAATCAACCTTAGTATATGGACATATTGATACAAGAGGGCATATATTAAATATATATATATATTTATATATTATATATATATTAAACTCAAGTTTAAAACCATCAAAGCAAGCTATGTTAGACTGTTATCATACCAGACCCAGTGCTGGTCTATAAAAGGGAAAATTGCTGTTTCCCACATATCAACCACCAGACACCTCACTAAAGGCAGTTAGTTACTATTCTTATGGACCAGTAATACTCAAAGTGTGGTACCTAGAATCTCAGCATCACCTGGGGTCTTACTAGAGACACAAGTTCCCAGGCTCCCCCCAGACTTAACGAATCAGAAACTCCGGAGGTGTGGCCCAACAACATGTTTTAACAAGTCTTCCAGATTATTCTGATGCATGCTTGTTGTGAACCAGTATAATAATAGAAAAGACCATTAGTAACTGAAATCAGATTTGAATTTTATAAAACTATTCAAATTTCAAAAGTCTTGCAGTTTCTCCCAGAGAACAAATGCAGTCAACATTTTCTCATGTTAACACCTTTAGTAAAGGCATTAAGACAGAAATAAACATTGAGCTTTAGAATTTAGGCCAAAACAAGCAAACAAAAGTAAAGTTTGCTAATTGTTCTTTATAGCAATAGAAATTAGCTAGCATCTGCTTCTAGTCAGTAACATAAACTAATGTGGTACTTCTTGAGGACATGCTGTGTCTTATTCACCTCTGGCCTCCAGAAAATTTCATCAAGGAAAAAGTTTTACCACTGGGGAAGAAGCCAAGGTATATTATTTATTCTAACCCAAAAAAGTTTACTCTTAGCAAACTTTCCCATCCGGCCAGGTTAAAATGAAACCACCACTTAATCCCCTTCACCTATGTCACCCATCCTGGTAACTGAGGTACAGCACAGGGAATATAGTCAATAATATTGGAATAACATTGTATGGTGACAGCTGGTGCCTACACTTATCGTGGTGAGCAGTACAAAATGTATAGAATTGTCGAATCAAGATGTTGTACATCTGAAACTAATAAAACGTTGTATGCCAACTATACTTCAAGAATAAAAAATTTTTAGAAGGATGAAATCAACATATCATTTGTAAGCACAATCTTTTTTTTTTAATGCAATATTTATCATCCCAAAGGAGGGTTAATGCTTTCTCCAGTACTTAGCAGAATGTTCTAAATATTTCAGATGTCAAAGGTTTGTGGTTGGTAATAAATATCTTTCATGGCTTAGAGTGTTTCACTTTAAAATATAAATGTAGGGTGCCTGGGTGGCTCAGTTGGTTAAGCGACTGCCTTCGGCTCAGGCCATGATCCCAGGGTCCTGGGATTGAGTCCCACATCGGGCTCCCGGCTCAGCAGGGAGCCTGCTTCTCCCTCTGACCCTCTCCGCTCTCATGCTGTTTCTCTCTCTCTCTCTCAAGTAAATAAATAAAATCTTTAAAAAAATAAAATATAAATGTAGTGTTAATGTATACATATTTTTTTCTTGCTTATATAGTCCAAACTGGGTTATTTGACCTTGATCTTGTGCACAGCCCACACCATGGTGTATGGCGGAAAGAGATTCCTCAGTCCTTCGAGTCTCAGATGGTATCTTCCTTCAGCCTACGTGATCGCGCTCATCATTCCCTGCACCGTGCTGGTGATCAAGTTCATCCTCATCCTGCCATGTATAGACAAGACCCTTACACGAATCCGCCAGGGCTGGGAAAGGAACTCAAAACAGACATCAAAAGGACAATATTTGAAGCAAAGTTCAATTTACCTGGACTCTCAGCTATAGTATTGTATATTTAGGGAAGACTACATAATGGGCACAGTTAAGAAAGCATTTTTCTCCCACCTTGGCCTGAAGTTTGTTAACAGAGAAGGAAATGTTGCCTGACTTTGAGAAATTGACAGATAGGAATAGAACACCATTTAATCTCAGGTTAGTGATGAACCTATGTAGGTTCCTGCCTCTCTTCTTCCCAGAGGCAGCAGGCTGAGGTCACACTGAGTTTTGTGGCTTCACACTAAAACATTTTTTTGTTATGGGCAACATGCATGACCTAATGTCTTGCAAAATCCAGGGGAAATACATGCAACTTCCTTCTCTGGTTCAAGGGCTGAGTGCAATGAAAAAGAAAACAGTAAGATGGTGGCCACTGATAAAGTCTTTCTGAGGTATGTCTGAAAAAGGGGAACAAATGAAGTAAAAGGAATGAAAATTTTTCTTACTGTTCTTTTTAAATGAAGGAGATCCTAAGTATCGCCATAGTGAATTCTATAGTTAAATGTGCTCTTTGATTTTGCTTTTGCCAACATGGATGTGTACTGTGGAGAACTATTTTATAACACAACAAAAATATCACCATTGATGGGAAGTAACCATGGGTTGAATACATGCAAATCTATTACCATTGTCATAAGATTCTTCCTCTACAAGGAATACGTGTAGGGAAGATTGAGTTCAAATTGAGATATCCACTGGATTTTTTCAATATATAATAAGCAAGGAAGGGTTGATAAAAGCCCTTGCACAATAAGGTGAAATAAGCCAGAATTTTAGATAGCAAGCTAAATAAATTTTGGAAAGTTGCACTATACAAGGTTTGTATGATTAAGGTATTATGGTATGCTTTGTGAATAGTATATTCCAAATATTGTTCAATACTAATCATTTACAAAATGGATTTCTAGTATAAAAAAGTAGCTTCTATAATTTTTCAGGGCTTATTTTAATTTTAAGCAGTGAAATTAAATGAATAATGAAAGTATAAGTTTGACCAAGGCATAGATGAGAGAGAATTATGTAAAATCTTAGGGTAGAAAGGTGTGAACAGTAGCTGAAATATGAGACATGCTTCTTTCTCAAATCTTTGCTGGAATGCAGGATGGTTTTCTCTGTTTTTCCTGTGCTGATATTGCCATTAGCCTTCCTGGCTCATGCATGGAGCTGAAAGAGCCTCGTGCACCCTCTTCCCACAAACTGAAATAACCAAAAGGCCTTGAGACTGATATTTTTCTGCCTGCTCTATAAAGGCCATCTATTTTTCTTTTTTTTTTAACCTTTATTATCATATAT